GACGCAAGTGCAAGCGAACGTTAACATGCCCCACCCCACCCCACATCTACCACGAAGCATCAACTTCGTGACGCAAGTGCAAGTGAACGATAACATGCCCCACCCCACCCCACCCCACATCAACGAGGAAGCATCAACCTGACAGCACCATAAAATCGCGATTTCCTCTGGGGTCGCTAACAGCGGCGATAGCAACAAGTGCCACAAACCATTGAGACACATGTTTCTGACATGTTGCCGGGTCACTTTCTGAACAGTGCTAAGCAACGTACTGACTAGCAGCGGCTACTAAATAATGTTTGTCCAGTTGGTTTTGGAATGTTTTGGAGGTGGGTCCATCTATTATTGTTGAAGAAAAAACTGTCTGATCATTGTACCAGGACCCTCCAAGGGGTGCCCAATGGAAGCCTATAGGTAGTGTGGGGTAGTTCATTGGACACCCCTTGGAGGGTCCTGGTATAGACGTCTCCAGACTTTCGTTAAGCTGGGCCCATATCATGGATCGCCAGGCCCCGCCAGGCCCTCCGGGTGTGCCACCGCTGTTCCCAACGACGTGCTGCGACATGCTGGCCTCATCCTTTTGCAGTCTCTGACAGGACCAGCCACTATAAACATGTATTCCCTTCCATCCGTCTCGAGGCGGCTACACCAACATGTTCAAGAGTGAGCCAGAAGCAATTGGGCACTCTCGAACGGACCCGTCTGCCATCCACACCCTCCACTCTCCCTCCACTTACGCTCCCTCCGCGCCCCCAGGACCCACGGGGTCCAAACATCACCGGTAGAAATGCCAATGGATTCCTCAGATCGGTGCGAATCGCGGTCGTCCAAAAGAGACCGGACGTCCAAAAGAGACCCACACGAACCGACTGACTCACATCACATGGAAGTGGGTTTTCTTCGAAGTGTACATTTTTCTGACCACAAAGTCCCAAAGCTTGATCCCTAGGAGACAAAGAACTCAGTGTTTGATAGTGTTAGGGGTCATCCAATTGGCCAAGTTATGGCTCGGTGCGGGATCGGGAAAATCATCCTCCGATCGCGAAGGGTGTGGTCACGCCGATGTCGCGCTGTGGCCTTCGGACATCCTCCAGTCGTTCATCAAAGATTCCAAGAAGTTGGACAGCTCGCCTTCTTCGATCCCTTGATGAATATCCTGCGATCGCTGCGAACACAGAACTGTCAGTCCACGCGTGCTGACGGGGGAAAGGTGTACGGCTGTCCTTCCACTAGCAGATCGCAAGGGGCTCCAAAGTTTGTGTTCTTTGGTGGATCTGACCTCCCTCTCTCTCTCTCTCTATGTCGCCTCTTCAGGCGACCGACTTCATCTGCTGCTTTGAACGAAAAGAACGGACTCCCAAAGCCATTTCCTGGAAAAGGGTTCATCGTAGTTCACCTGGTTCACCATGGTTTCAGCTGAACTGTCCTCCAATCCAAGAACTGTGGGTTTTTCGAACTCAGGGTCTCCTTTGTTGAGCCCAGCTTCCACCAGATGTCAAACACTCAACTGATTTCACACAACCGTGGGGTTCGTCGCGCATCTCCTCGATGGAGAGTTCGTTGGTCTTTCCACGATCCAGTTCCTGGAAGATGCCTCGCAGGGTGTCCACCTGCCCAGTGTGGGCCGCGGCCGCGGCCGCGGCGCGGCAGATGGGGCACCGCCCAGCCGCTGCATGGTGAAGACGTGAAATGCCGATCATACATCTACCTTCTCTCAAGCATACCCGCTCCCTAATGGAGCACCAGGATGAACAAAGCAAAATCCTGAAATAAACTCAGCTGGTGCATCCCAATAGTTGCACCATGTTGCACAGCCTCGGCCTGGTGTTAAGATGTTTATTCCAACAAATGTTTGAGGTCTTTAGGTTGACCAAAAATGCACAATGCACATGTAAAACACCGAAACACATTGAAACACCGTATATGATTTTGTCCACTACTCCTCTTCAAAGCCACTGCTTCTGAACGCCAAGCTTTCCCTGGATCAGTAGGACCGCGGAACCGGGCCGAACCTCTGGCCATGGCCGCACCCTGCATTCACAAGCCTGTAAACCGTTGCAACATATTACGCGCTAACTGTAGTCCATTCCCTATAGGTACTAGGGATCCAAGTACCTTGTTAGAAGGTCATTAGAGACACTGTTGTTTTGGTTTGGAGGGTCCAAGTACCTTCTGAGAAGGCACTTGGGTCCCTGGGGTTCGTTACACTCTGACTCACTATCATGGAACCGGATAATGGCCCTCAAGGAACCTGTTCCTTGGTGTTCCACTTCCTTGAGTGATGTGCTCGTTGGAGGGTGCATTTCATTACTCCCCTGCCAAGGACCTCATGGAACCCGCCAAAACCACTATAGCTTGTAGAGGAAAGATCACCCCAAAAAGACACGACATTTCAAACAGTCCATCTGGGTCCATGTGGGTCACCTGCAGGGGGGTGCTGTGTGTGTGTGTGTGTTGTCAACCTTCTTCACTGCACCCTGGTTCATCCTGCGCGCCACAACGTTTGTTCGGCACGCTGTGGTCGGCAAAGCGCGGTCATACCCCGCCCACACCCACCCTCACCCACCCCCGCCAACGCCATGCCTGCTTGGCTTTGGATTGCACTTGCCTCATGCTCGCAACCTGGCGGCAAAGCTGGCGGCAGAACTTCTGGCTCGCAACACATGTTTTTAGCCAGGCATGTTCTGTAATTCGCACCTGTCAAACCAAAACAATGTGAAGTGCACCAATCGCCTCGTGACGTTCGAGATCTTCGATTTTCACCTGTAAACCCTGATCGCTGGTAGACCCTGTTGGACGACGGGGGCCACCGTGCCACGAAGGACAGGGTGCCACCGCCACCGCAGCGGTTCGGCGGATAGCGGCACCTCCTTGTCGGAGGCTGCGCTCTCAATGGCCGTGTTGCCTCAAGCAGCTCAGCTGAGCTCTGCTGCGAAAAAGGGAAGTTTTTTTTGTGGTTAAACTCAGGTCTTCATCCATGCTATGCAGTGGCCAGCATCAAATTGATCACCCCATTTGGCAGAGTCGGTGAACTTTAAACTTGAACCCACCCATCACCCATACGTTAACCCATCCCTCGTAACCTGTTACAAACAAGTCACCTGGGCCAGTGATCATCCGCTGAAACATGATTCAATGATCTGCCTCCACTGATGCCGGGTAGATAGCACATGAATAAAACATGAAGCGTCTCTTACCCTCCCTTGTGCCCAAAGCAAAAGATGACAATCAACACAATTTGTATCCAAATATCCATCTCAACCTGGTGGAGAATCGGGGGGGTGAGTCGGACTGGTGAACGTGGGGCAACCACCCATGCTTGAGGTTTCATCAAGCTAAATGTCCAAACAACGCATGAGGTGCTGTCAGAATCAATTGTTTCGGACTGGTGACTGGTGCAAAAGTGGACGTTTTTTGTTCTTTTGCGGGGGGCCTATCGCTTTATATGCTTTTTGTGGAAATAAGTATTAGCATGGTTTCGAATCTAGAATCAATATGAGTCTGGAGACGGTTCCTAACAGTACATACTACGCTAGATCATCACTATCATGTCCGCCATCTAAAACACTACTGTTCCAAGAGCGCTAGCCTTGGCAGTGCTCCTAAGCAACTGGAGCATGCTTAGAGGCACATCTGCACAAGTCTAAGTTTCAGGCTTGTTTTTGTTGATCTAGGTTCGTGGGTCTATCCCTTGGCCGGTTCCATCCCCTTGGACGATAAATGATACGGCAACTGCAGGAAACAAGGGCACCGCAGGTTGAATTTCCTTCATCGGCTGATTGGTGATTAGTACGCCAAGTTGAATGGACTTAGGTATGTGGCTACAGGCTACAGGTTATTATCATGTTTTCAGGGCCGTATCGCTCTACATGGTTCCGTGCACATGCTCAGCACAACTGCTCCCTACTAAAGTGATCTACGCCGCGACTCACATGTGGATTGCGATCTCAAGTGCACAAACAACATGGAAACGTTCGGCTCTCAAAGCTTTCGCCAACGAATCCAGGTGCCCTCTATGCTGACGGCTTTGCACCATGTGCGTCGCCGAGTCCCAAAGGTTCGCCCCAAAACAGTGATTTTGCTGTCTGCTTGGGGATATTGTTGAAAGAACCGGGTGCCCTCCGCATCCCTCCGACATTCACCCTTGCCATCCAGCAGCAAAACACACCGGTCACGGCCTGCAGCACACTTCGGCGAGACCGCCGCGAATGAGATGATGGGACTGGGTGTGCCCCCCAAAATGCTGAGCAAGTGAACCTGCAAATCTATATGGAACATGTCAGCTGCTGACAGCTCGACACCCTCGTCAGGGAGCGCAACCTGTATGTAGTTCCTATAGGCCACAAAACTCATCCCAACAAGCATGCGTCATCTTGAATCTAGAAGTGGTTTTCGTTCAAACATTGCTAAGGGAGTGACAGTCGTTTTTTTTTGGCCACTTGCCGACACGGCTCCAAACTGCCAGGATCAACCAATATCAATGTCAACCACATCATCTGCCCAACCAACACGTGTGAGAACTACCACATCAACCCACACAAAAGCTAAATTTGATTGCAAAGCCTCTTCCGACTCTTCAGGACTCCGCGGAGTCCTAGCTGCTGCTGCTGCTACTACTACTACTACTACTACTGCTACTGACAACTACGGCTGCTGCTGCTGCTGCTGCAACTGCTACTACTGCTGCTGCTACTACTGCTACTGCTACTACACCACTACTACTACTACTCCTCCTCCTCCTGCTGCTGCTGCTTACTCATCATAATCATCACCATCATGGCAGTAATGTGCAGTAATCATTTTTTTGCCAGTGGGGTGTTGCGTGTAAGCACCCTTCCCAGAGATTCTATAACTGAAACGGTATGCCATGGCATTTTGGAAATCACTGCATGGATAGCTGGTCTATGCTACCACACCTTCCGACACCTTCCCATATCTTTCCATACATCACAGGCGCATTCAAAATCGCGAAGACAGTGATGGCCACGAAAATCAGGACCTCATGGCCGCAAGCTTTGACAAAAGGAGCCCCATCCGAGACTTCATCTGAATGGGTTTCCAACGGTTTTACCATCGAAGCTTGGGGCACCTCGACCTGACCGTGCCAAAGACTCCAAAGCAACGCCACAGTTTCGGCGCTCCAACAGGGCGTCCTTCACGTATGAAACCAAGCGAAAAGACCTCGTGTCCTAGAGCCAAAGATGGCACGGTACACTTCAAAACCTACAACCTCCCGTCCGAGCCACTTCACTTCGTCCGATTTTTAGGCCATATGAAGGTGACAAAAACACCATCCTGCCTGCCAAACCATGGAAGTGGACAACTTCTTGTTTTGTATCTCTCCACATGCCATGCCATCCACTTCCGTCGGTTTCTTGGCAGGATGGGCAACTCATCCGCCTGGCAGCTCCGTTCACCCTTGTCGCACTGTTTCCATCCACCAGGTACACACCAGGTACCACTCAAGCAGAACCACCCGATCACTGGCATGAAAAGGTACATAGTCATGTTTTGTTTTGTCCAGGAACTCATTTGAAGTGTCTTGTAACTTGTTATATATATATTATATACTTATTGCGTCGGTTTTCGAGCCTTTACATTAAGAGCAGCTCATCCCACGGCAACCTTCGTGCCAAGTGGCTAAGACCACCGCCAATCTGGAGACACCCCACAGGGGTCGCACAGGTGCCTGATCGACTTGAGGACTGCAGGAATGAGAGCAAACTGAAGCTATAGGAGTATCCAACAGCATCCAGGCCATCAAATAAGATCTTAAGGAAGAGGTAAATAATGACATATATTCTTCCCCAGAAGGGGATTCACTCAGAGGAAAAATAAACAAATCACCTGATCCGCAAAAACACATCGACTCATATCATTTCACTAGTCATGTCGTGGCAATAGCTCCCCAAATCCTGGTGGCGAGTGTCCTTGGTTAGCTCGATCGTCACAAATCAGACTTGGGGAACCACTTTTGACTCGGTGAATCTTGGTGATCAGAATCGTGGAACGAAGCAAAGCCTGTATGTCCAAGGCATTTTCTGTCAGGTGTGCCCTCTTCGTGTAGGCTTGCTCCAGAGTATAGGATACAAGATTGTACAAGCAAGTACTGTAATGGGTCTTACCAAACCCTGCGCCTCCCAGTCGAGACCTCCGGTGATGGACATGAAGAGCGTCAACATACCTTAGGTAGCCAGGGCTCAATTTTTTCCTGGCCAGGACGTGCATGATCATTGTTTTGCTATCCATGTTGTTTTGAGTGGGGTGAACTAAACTGTGACTCAACTGCATTGTCCCAAGGCTTTTCAAGGTGTTCTGTTGTTTGGTTTCATGCACCTATTCCACGTTTTACTTTTGCTACGCCTGGTCCTCAACATGGAACCTCCATACTGTTGGCGATTCCTGAGGAATTCACTTCTATCTCATGATATCTCATGAATGGATTGGTTCCATCATGTTCCATCTGATGAAAAAAGTTGAACCATTATTGTGTGTCATAAGCACGGTATTTCATCTTCTGAATTGCTGTCCATGAGATCATGGAAGTGGAACATGGTCCCTTGCAAAGACCATGTAACCCCCGACGTGTGCAAGTGTTCTTTCCACTTCTGTAAGTGCCTCAGGGAGTGCTTCAGGATGTATATGGATGTATAGCTTGGTGGTTGTGCTCTACTTGTCCCACTGTTCCGAAGCACCACGTCCTGAACCTCGAAAGACCAGACCGTCTGGGAAAACCCGGGTGACACCCGGCCTCCGGCCTCCGGCCGCGCCCTAAACCAAACACCCATGAGCGAGCGAGCCGAGATGCTGGTGGGCACGCTGCTCCAGTATTTCTTGAGGTCATCAGGACAAACCTCGGTCGATCGAAGGGGTGGGCGGGCGACCTTCGTTCATCGAACCCAGGCGTTCATGGCGTGAAACACAGCACTGAAGGAACTGGAACTGCCTCAAGGAATGTGCGAGCACTAAAGTACTCCAGCAGGTGAACAGAAGCAAACAAACAATCAACATACTCAAACAACGTGTCAAACATATCGATAGATAGGACATGATATGGCATGATAAACAATACATGAGTTTAGGAGCACCATTGGCCATTAAACTGTGCTCCTTACAGTGTCAACGTCACCTCTAGCACTCCATCACAGCACAGGACGTCAAAAGGCACCTGAAATTATTCCAATTAAGCTCATCAAAATCGTCAACCATTGCTAGATAGATCAAGCAAGTTTAATCCAGGACTTCCAGTTGCCACAGTTGGTTGCACATCTTTTGTCTTTCGTCAAAGGAATCATGTATGCAAGAAAAGGGAGAAGGCGATCGTTGATCTGCAAAGCTATGATATGTGTACGTTTCACTCATGTGACTCTCCTTTGAACGGCCCTCACCCCAGTGTACAGGTTCTCTGCACTGGCAAGAAGGCAACTTGTGCATTGGTCACCTGCAAAGTGGAGATCTATACTGGTTTGTTTTGCCCTGCACCCGCTTGCTCACCCTTGCCTTCTCGCCAGTACAACAGCACACAGCTTGGTGACTTCCATAGCAGTTCTTCAGCTACCAGGAGGGTCACCATGACTGAAACCTAGTTCGATGAACATATGTTCCTGTTCAAGTTGCGGAGAAAAACAACACACCCACATCCCATTGACCCATCGCCCAGTTCAATCGCCGGGTCACCGGGATGGCGTTGTTGTCGCCGGTGACTTCGATGTTCATGTAACGGCAATGCTCCACGACCATCTGCGTCAAAACAACGCCAAAGCCTTGGACTGTCGTCCAATTACGGACCTCCACCGAGATCATCCGAGATCGATGGGACTGCAGTAAGGGCGAAGGGGGATGGGAAGGGCGATGGGTGGCTTTGAGGTTCATTTTTGATGCACCAATAGCTCTGTGAAGTAAAAGGAAACCTTCCTTCATAGGCATATGCATAAGCTGCATAAGGATATGGACGGATTTGTGGATGCTACAGGCAATGGCATGGTATATCAAGCCTGTCATATACACAAAACAACTGCCGCTCATGTCACGTCCCAAAACCATTTAGCCCAGAACCTTGAGCGATTCCCAACACTCACCAGTCCCGACCGCCCCTTTACGCCTTTGAGACCCAACATGAATGAAACACCCGAGGCTGACGAAGATGCAGGGTCTCGACCCTCATACCAACTGTCCCACCAAACCACCAAACCAAAGAAGAGAGAATGAAAAACACCACCAAACCAAACCAACTGTCCCACCTATCAGGACCATCCTCATCCTGTCTGGGTGCCGCCCATCGCGCTTGGACACCCGGACTCCAGCGTGAAGAGCCCCCAAACGCGTTGAAGCACCACAGCCATGCGCATCGAACACCCAACCCCGAATGGGAAGACCCCTTTCGGCCCGGTGTCAGGTCCAAGGACCCGATGTGCGGCAGCCCGCGTGGACGGCACAGACCCCCCCCTTCCGATGTCGGTGGTGGATGGACGAAACCGCATGTGTCTAGGTCATCATGGCTCATATGTAGGGATCCTCACAACCCCATAATCCCCCTTAGGATTAAGGATTACGTTTGATGAGGCCAGTCATGGGGGAAAGTCCGTGCCATCCAAGAATCGATTCAAAACCGTCGGCAACGACTCGATTCGACTCGACGCGACTCGACGCGTCTCCGCGTCCCGACGGACCGCGGTGGCCCGACCTTCCGCGGGGTGCGACTTGTCTTGGAGTCGACGTCGATCGGTGCAAGGTGAGCCAGGTGGCTATAGAAGATGATGAGCAGCAACATCAAAGTCCAGAAGAGTGAGCCCAAGGTGCTCACGATGGACAAGGCCAAGGTCCGAAGGCCACCAATGTACCTGATTCGAGCCAAAAGAAAAGAGAGAGAGGCAAAGGGGAAAGTGAAAGGGAGGAGGGAGGAGACCTTCTATAGGAGACGCATGATGCAAAAAATGGCTCGACCATGTGAGAGTGAGGCTTACTGACAGTGGGGAGTAGTATGCCCAAGCTCCTTGACCAGCAGGGCTCCGCTTCTGAGAGACACAAGAGATGCCGGCACTTGCAGTCCCAGATGCTGGAAAAGCCAGAGCATGCCTTGGAAGGGACATCTCGAAACGGTGGGCTACTCCCCGGCAAGGCTGCAAGAATAGGTTTGTAGATGGTGGTGGTGAATCATTTGGGGAGGGGGATGCTCTATGCTCTATGCTTCTCTCAACGGACTCGGGACGTGTGTTCGCCTGCTGAAGCAGGCGGGAGCTGGATCAATGGGCTCTAGTTACTCTAGTTGGTACACCATCCAAAGGCTCTCAACATGGATAGACCAGCTATGTTGTTGCTGGCGAAACCCTGCTGTCAACTGTCAAGGGTTGGAAACGTATCATTCTTGCCTGCAGTGAACATGCATTGCAAATGTTAGACAATTCCCAGTCCCACTGAATATATGCTTGAAATAAACATTGGGGTCACATACGGAGTGAATGAAGGTAACCACACCCGATGTTTACCGAGGAATTGGTCTCTTTTGGCTTCATCAGCCAGGATGGGTTGGCCCTTTGAATGTCCATCGCGATCTGACGGAAGTGAAGCAACATGAGCGGTTCTGGGGAAGGCCGGAAGGCCTTGGGGAAGGGATTGCAAACAGTCATCACTCCTAAACACCAGCTTACTATGGAACCCAGCTTCTGGGGCTAGAAGCTTACTGTATATGTTTCTTCTAGCACCAGTCTGCTTCCTCTCCCCTTGCTGCCAGCTACGCATGCTCCGCAGGGCACGTGCCAAGCGGATGGAGCGAATCAGCCGCAGGTGCCCGGTGTTCACCTCGGGTGGCTGCTCAACTCCAAGCAGTACAGCTATGGCACGCGAAGTCTGGCGGTCTGGCTATGATCTGGCCATGTCCGGCCAACAACTTCAGTTCCTGCTCTTCAAGCCAAAAAATCCAGAACAAACAGAAGAGATAAAGCAGTGGGTTGTTGCTGTGGCAGGGCTCGGATGTCTGGCTCTTCGCTTCATCGTTCTTTCTTACCAACCATCCATCTCACCTTAACTATTGGGCGTTCAAGTTTACATTGTATTTAGCAAATGGGCGTGCACCAGCCAATTTCTTGTAACACATGGCCAACTGGCCTTCTATGGAATCGGCAAGCCAGCCTCACAAACATTCAGCTTCTTGTGACATTACCAAATCTGGAGGAACTGAAATATGCTTGTAGACATATTCAGAAGTTGGCTTGCTCTAGACCACACAGTACGTCTTTACAAACTGATTATCAACTGCTTCATGATGACAGCTGATTGCCTGCACGTCTTGAATCCATGTTAGGAAACATATCAACTATTAGTGATCAAACATATGATAACATATGCGTGTGGGATGTTTCAAGCCTTATTAAAACAAACCAATATTCCTTAACCCATTGTGTAGTGGAACTACATCCCCATGGGCCCCGATTAACCTATTCGAGCCGACACCCACCACGACTGGGCCACCGAACCACTCGATGGGAGGGCTTGGTGTAGAACCAACAAAGGTACCTTCTCAGAAGGTACTTGGGGCCCTCCAAAGCCATAAACTGTCTCCAATCACCTTCTCAGGTTCGGTATGTGGATCCGGGATAGACTCTCCCATGTAGGTACTCCAAGTTGCAGGTGGAAAGCGTCGGTCACCGGCCAAACCCGGCCGTTCACCGGCCAAGCGTGGTGCGTCCGAGTGACATCCGGGGTCAAAGACGTTGCTAAGATGTCCAAAGCAACGTCTGCCTGCAGCGACCCGTTCATGCTACCAGCTGCTATACCCTAAAATGCTTCAAAGCAAATGACACTGTCCATGCAGGTGTGGTGAACATGGATGCCCCAGTGCCCTCTAACTCATGACCTTCAACGCGTCGCAAGATGGGCCACCAGGTTCTCGGGCGCTGAGCTCGGTGGCAGGACCCTCCAATACCCCCAAAAACCTCCTCCCATAGACTTATGCCAGACCGTCCATGGGTGGAATCTTTACTTACATTAGGCTTATAAAAGGGCTAAATCAAATCGGGTACATGGTCAGGAGAAATGTGAATGGTAGCAGCATGTAGGACATATGGGTATGATGATGCATGACATTACCAAACGATTCCTCACCCACCAGCACTATTGAATTTCCTTGAACCTCCATGTCTGGAAAGGAGAACGCTGCCACCCCCAATCCGGTCGCTCCGCCCATTCCCCGAATTGGTCTCAGCTGCCACCGAGATGGCGATAATCACAAAGTCGAAGAGGTTCCACGAAGAACTCGGCTATATATAAAAGGCTCTCCGGGCCCCGGGAGACGAGGCTGAGACAGCCGAAATCCGCCCAAAAATGAGCTATCTGAGTGGGGGTACTCCAAAAAGGAATCACTCCAACGTATGTCGACGGACAAATGGAATTGGTCCTCTCAAAACACGGGTTTCTGTGAAAGAGAGTGAGTGAACTTCATATGGACTTGTTGTGGGTCTTGTTCCACTTGGCTAGTTGCAACCTGCCAAACCGGGAAGACCCCTCCGCCGGCAAACCATTGGCACCACTGAAAGCAGGAATAGCCTCAGTACTGACCGGGACTTTGGCTGGGGAACTGCCACCACTATCCACCACTCGAAATCCGAATCCCCCTCAAGACAAAACAATTATACTGCCACTTCTTGAAAGGTCAACAGTTCAATCTCACAAACATCCCAACATACATACTCCACTTATTCAAATGCGAACTCATGCTGTTTCATCTAGTCTTGGCTGGCCCACGGCTGGTGTCAACTCTTTGCCGTCTGAACCATCTGCACCAACACACCGACATGGAACTTCAACACACACACACACAGCAAACTGGACTACCCCAAAACCTAAATAGTATAAAACCCTAAATCCTCAAAACTGGTGGCCTACACTAACCACTATAACTGGTGGTTTCACCCCGTTGAAACCACATCACGTCCCCGTCACCGGTCAAGGAGCTCTTTGGCGCACCAGAACTCGGTGCAGCCCAAGGCGATGAACTTCAAGAGCAGCTCCAGCAGGAAGACCCCAACGATGGCAGTGTTCGCCTAGACGAGACGACTGAGGAACGGCACGATGGGTGGTCGAAGAAGCTGGTGGTCGAAGCTGGTGAGAAACTCTCAGTGCCGTTCTTCAAACGGGGAAAGTTCGAGGTTCTCGCGTACTTTCAAAAGAGATCCTGAGATGAATTGCACCCCAAACATATTGTGTATCTTGCGACATCCAAAAAAATCGTGCAGGATGTTCCTCGTCTGACCGACCGTTACCAGGTTTTTTCAATGCTTTTTTTTTGACTTTTTGCAGTTCCGAATTCAGGTTCTGCCTGAGCTACTTGGAGCCGGACCCTCCTTCCGCTTGCTAAGCACTCCTGTTCTCGCCAGGGCGCCGTCTGCATCCAGCTGGGCACGTCTGAGAGCCCCACATGGGAGGAAACGTCCACCTCAAGGTCGAAGATGAGCGTTTTCACGCGTGAACACCCCACGCGTTGGTTGGTCACCGCGAGTGAAAACGTATGTTCGAGCACCTTCTGAAGGGTCATCATGTGAAATCTGTTGAGACAAACAGTGAGGAACTCACATCCCCAGGGTTCCAAGCACATCCTCAAAAGGTTAGACTTACACCGGGTTTTGGGAGGAAAGTCTGTCTCTACCGATATGGTAGTTGGAGCATGTTGGAGCGTGTTGAAAACAACCAACGCTGGGTGGTCGGAGGTGCTGGGCACGGTGCAGGGTATACAATCGGCTCAGGGGAGGTTAAAAGACTGACTTCCCCAGTTGTCCGAAGAAAATCCATCAAGCTTAGCCGTACTTTCCACTTGTTAAGTGGGGTGCCCCCAACGCCCGAAGGTTTTATCAACTTTTCCTGGGTAGGGGAACCACCAACTTGACCAACTTGGAACTGTTGGCTGGGAAGGTTTCAGTGAAACCTTAGGTCAATGTGAGACCCGGGTGTGTTCTCGCTTGTTCTCCTTTCAACCTACAAAGGTTAAGTGACCGTAAATAGGACCCGTCACCAGGGGTACCCAACTAGGATAGTCGAACTAGGGTTCTTCAACCTCTGCTGGAACCTCATCTTCTGATTTAGACTCTCCCAACTTCTGTCTCTCTCCTTCTATCACTCTCAAAGGCCTCCCATGGCTTCCAAAAGCTTGGTCAGGGGAATCCTGAACAACTGGTGACCCCATCAAGAGTCAACAAGCCCAAAACCAACTGGTGATTGGTGGGGAATGAAGGAAATCGGGCCCCAACCAAGATTTCCTTTGGATATCTTTGGATCCATTTCCTTCATTGATTCCTTTGGATTCCCTCCACTAGTCACTAGTCAAAGCACAAATCAACCAGATCAAGTTCTTCAACCCAGTCCTCGGGTTAGTCTTGGAGACTAATTACCTTCGTCCCTGGGCCGAACAGCTTCACTGTCCGCGAAGATGTTCCAAGCCACTTCCACTCCCAGCAGAATCACCTAGGCCAACGATTGATTTCTCCAGGGCCGCGTGATGAGGGGGTGGCCCCAAACCCCTACCAGGTGCTCCACAAGCGAACAGAGAGCGCTGACGCGACGTTTTGGGACACACGTTGGCCTGGCCCTGACCGGAAATTGGGGTGCAATAGCTTGCTGGGACCAGCTGCCTTTGCCCTTGATCAAGGTCAGCACACCTCCGTCTGGTGCGAATCAACCCTGGTCTGGCCCTGAGGAAAATCACCTCCATGCACTGCAGCTTGACCATTCCAGCATGGCCACCAAGACACGTTGAAAATGATGAGCACCAAAATGAGATGAGAGAACAGTGGCGCCTCCACAAAGTCCTGGGCGGCGATGGGTCGTTTTTTTTTGCCCCACTGAACACGAAGCAAGTGACAAGCAGCGTGCTGCCAAACATGGCACAAAGCAAGTGACAAGGCTAAATTCAATCAAGCAGCTCTGGCATATTCCCTCCAGCGTGCCTCGAATGTTAGCAACATGTTTGCATGCACATGTCACAAAGGGCTTGTCCACGTACCCAGCTGTGAGGTGCTTCACCTCCCACCTGTCAAAGCTTCATGTCTTGTCTTGCTTCTACTTGCCACCACGCCACCCATCGAAAGCCTGAGTGCATTTCCATCTCCTTGGCTGCGCAAAGCCCTCTTGCGTGCAAAGTTTTCATCCATGTGTCAAAACAACGGGGTTGGATCCTACCAACACGAAAGGGCACGCTG